TAAGGACTGTAAGATGTTTTTCATTGTGTACTGTACTGGAAAATGGGAACTCCAGGTTTTATTTTGATTGGGTTTTTATTTTGGTTTTGTGATTTTGTTTTTTTGTTGGTTTGGGTATCTTTGGTTTTATTTTGTTTTGGCTGTTTTTTTTTTTCCCCTGTAAAACAGCCATGACTTGATCTTTAAAGGGCTGCTTGTGAAGTGGGAATTTACTTTTCAATTAAGTAGTTTTGTCTGATTTTTAACTGCATATTTTCAAAGAGAGAAATGAGAGTTCTTGAATGTGCTACCATTTTTGTATTGGTTTTGTCCTGTTTTGAATCATGCTTCTTTTTCTTGAGCTCACTAATGAAAAGTGCCTGCAGGAATACCAGTCTTTCCTCTTACCTCCCAGTAGGAAGACATGAGAACATCTCTGAGCTTTAACCCTATAACCATACTGTGTTTCTTTAGGTTTATTTACTTGGCTTGAATTTTCTTTTCCATCATTTACCACCATGTGTATATCATGTTGCGTTTTCTTAGTGGACGAATGAAGCTTTCTTCTCTCCCAGTTGCATAGTGCTTGCTGAAGATCTCTTCTGATCGCGTGTGTGTAATGTAAGTGAATGTAAAAGTCTCTTTTATCACTTCAAAATGCCCATCGTGAACAACATAAATTTTGCAGTTTCACATTTGAAGTGGTGTAGAGTTTGACATCCAGCTGATCTGATTTTGGTTGGTCTAGCCACAGCATGTAAGAATAGACTAACACCAAATTTATCATACATAGGCACTCAAGGTTGTCCCAGGTCATAGACTTTGTGACTTTTTGGTGCTGAAGCTCCTTTGTGTGTTTTTGCGTTTTTTTCCCCTGCATGCATAATCCTGTCAGAAGTCTGAATTCACATTAACATTGATGGATCGAAGATATATGTATTTAGATTGTATTATACAACCTGTAAAACATAACAAATGTTTTGTAAACAGTTGATTAGTTATCAATCACAAATTAATATGTTATTTTCTACTATGTTTTCTTTGGTGGAAGGGGGCTCCTAAATAGTTTCAGTGGTGGAAAACTAAGGATGAGTTTTTAGTTCATATTAAGCCAAGGTCTTAAAAAATCTGAATCATGTGTTTGTTTATATAAAAATCTACAGTTGTCTTTTAATCAGTGTAGTGCTAACGTGTTATGACTTTATACATAAATTATACTGAAGTGTCGTGCCAGATATGCAACACAAAATATGATCAAGGAAGCAGCTATAATGAACCTAAGTCACACTGCTGCAAATTGATATTGTATGATTTTGGAACAGTAAACTTTTTCACAGCCACACACTCCATATACATGGAGTGTATATAGAGATAGTAGGATGCAGTGTTAATGCTTTGCCTAGATTCATTGATGAGTACTACTGATGGGAGTACAGGACACTACTGAAGTTCTGGTGGACCCTCTGCCAAAAATATTCTGCTGCATCTGAGTTCTGCTACCAGTTCTAAGTTGCTGTGAAAGTGCATCTAAATGCCTTTAAGTATGTTAGTAGCTATTATTATACTAAATATCTGCTGCATATAAAATACACACAGACTTTTAATTTGCTTGTATTCTATATATAAATTCTGAATTAGAAAATTCATTATCTCTTATTGGAAGAGTGCCTCCCTGTACCTCGATCTTAGGGAGTTAAATAGCATATAAACTACAACTTCTCCATAATGTCCCCTATTCTGTGTAAAAGAATAGTGTTTCAGACCTGACAGCAACAAGGAACATTTTGCCAGTATGACTTTTCTTAGAGGTATGCAGCTAACAGCCTCCTGGAAAATCTGGAAGCCTCCAAGTCAAGCAGTGCAGCAGCTTATGTGTCAAGGGGTGGGTGGGTTATTTAGTTGTTTCACCATTTTTTGTTCGTTTACTTTTACATGTAAAAAAGCCTTACTAGCTTGAGGGTGACAAAGCAAAATATCAAAGTTTTGTAAAGTCGATGTGCTTGTAGGTTACTTGCACCACCTTGTGATAAAAATAAGGTATAGCAGTCTTTGTAATCAAATGCCTTTTAATGGTCTTAATATATATCTGTACAGCAGAGAAATAACCTGTAACCAGAATTTTTTACTTTCCTGTGTATTTCAGTTCTGATGAAGTTAACTGATTTACAATGCCTATGCATTAAAAATACATTTTCAGTATGCTGTTCTTGTGTTGTACTTTTATATTCAGCATTATCTGTGTGATGATAAATGCTGCTTTTGCAGTTCCTAAGATGAGTATTCCATAGGCTAAACAGCTCAGATTTACAACAAACATTATCAGACAAGCGGAGGAATGTTTTTTCACTCGTTGGTTATGAATGTGCAGTGTATATTTCACAAAGCATCACATATGGGCTTTTAGCAAGAAGATCTTCTGAAATGAGACGGTTTTAGCAGTGACTGTTTCATGCTCTTTGCCATGTTAGAGTTCTCTCATGAGAAGAAATTGTTCCTAATATCCAATTTAAACCTACCCTGATGCAACTTGAGATGGTTCTTCCTCTCTTTCTATCAATTATTACCTGGGAGAAGAGACCAAACCCCACCTCCCTACAACCTCCTTTCAGGCAGGTGAAGAGAGCAATATGATCTCCCCGCAGCCTCCTTTACTCCAGACTAAACAACCCCAGTTCCCTCAGATGCTCCTCATAAGACTTGCACTCTTGGCAGAGAGAAAAACAGATGGATGTTACTTCTGTATGGCCATGATCTTCTGCAAATACTGACAATTCTCCTATTTCATTTTGGGTGTAAGAAACTTGAGATCTGTGCATAATTTGGTAGGCTTGCAGGGAGACTGACAAGCTTTCCTGAAATCCTGAGCTGTTGAGAGCTGTATTCTAAACAGTAGTTCATGGGATGCTCTGTTGCTGCAGTGTAATGCTGCTGCAGTCTCAGCCCTTTGTAATACATGTCAGTGTGTGATTGAGGAACATAAATATGCTGACAGTGAAAATGTTTGAAATTAACTGGCAGCATTTGTGTAGGCAGAAGGGGATCAGATCTTTTGCAATGTTATTAGTATAAAAATGTTAAAATAGGGAGTTTTATGTGTTTTCCCCTTTTTGTAATGTTTTGACAACTCTCCGAATGAAAAGATGTGAGAATCATGTATTGTAATGAATTAAAAAATAATTACAGAATAATTACAGAAGGTCTCATTTCTGAAACAGTTATGCAGTATTTTCTAATTTGGGGATTGTATTGAGATGTTCCTGGATGTGCAATAGATGAATAATTCTTTATAATGGATCTTAACACTTTCTACCTCTCCTATGGCATCCTTTTTTCTTACACATTGGAAGACTAGAAATGTACAAATAAAGATGGTTCTTCACATGTAGCAGTTGAACCATGACCTCACTGCTACTGCTACAGAACTTTCTTCTTGAGAGACATTTGGATTTTGGTCATGGCAGAGGTTGTGTGAGATATACAACATATGAAATGAGTCATCCAGTTTTTACTCAGGCAAAGCTCCCACTGATTCTAGTTGGGCTGCCAACTTTGCCTGTGTTTAGAACAGTTCAAAGGCTTTGAAGAGCAGGCCTACAGAATGCACAGCCCACAAGAATGTATATAGCCTGCAGAGTGAATGTTTAATTTTGGTATGGTGCCTTCCTTGATTGGTCAGCTGAGGAGCTGTGAAGCCTGCCCTTGAGATTTCTTGGTTTGGCCTCTGTGTAATGGTCTTAATTCCTAGAACTGTTCATCCAGTCAAAGTGGATAGGAGAGAGAGGAGACATAAACCCATTGAAGAGAAAAAAAGTAATTGATCATTAAGCTTAAAACAGAGCTTCAGCCATTTGTTTCATATTGCATCCCTTTCTGTGATGAGTGGATGCAGAAAGTTGACAGTGTGGAACCTCCTTGTTGGGAAGCTGTGTCCCTCTTAGCTGTGGTTCTTTTAAATTATTTATTTCAGTTCACAGGTACAAATGTAGCTCAGGCCCAGTAAGGCATGAGACTCGCTTTGCACTATCCATCAAAGTTTTTGATGGAGAAGAACAATTGGAGCATTGGTTGGAACTGCGCACCACAGAGCCAGAAGATGTAAATCCTGCTCTTTATAAAATAGGTTTTATTTTTAAAGTGATCAGTTTAGATACTTAGGTTCTTAAAAAAGTTAGCCAATATCAACTGTTTGCACTTCAGAAAGCATTTTAAATGCCCAACCGCTTGAGAAGGTCAAACACGTAAGTGGGTAGACCAAAGTTAAAGGGCAGCCCTGTGGTGAGAGGGAAGGATCCAAGTCTTTGCCATGTTTATTCACCACAGTCAAAAATAACTGGAGCCAATGCTTATGCTTTCAAAGGCAATATCATGGCAATAATTCTGCAATCTGCTTCTCCCCTATGTATTTTGTGATTTTAACTTTTGACGATGGCTTTGTTTTGTAGCCCTCTGTCCCAAGCTAAAACATTCCAACCTATGGCATCGCAGCTTTCTGCACTGAGCGACAGTCATCACAAAAACAAGTCACTGATTAGAAGTATAAAGGAAGGTGAGAAAAGGATCAAGAGAAACATAAGTAACCTCAGCAACAGTAGGGTAGTAACAAGAAAAAGAATAACTATGGAAAACCAGAAAAGAGCATATACAAAAATTGAGAGCAAGCTGAGCAACAGAAATAGCAATAAGCAAGCGAGGATAAACAGGAGAGGGAAGAGGAGAAACAGCAATAAGACAGAGTAAGAGATAAGGGGGAGCATGAATCAAACAACAATGAAGTCGTCCTGAAATACAATATGAGCTCTAATTCCTGTTACACCAGAAGTTCTCTCCTCAGGCTCAGGGTTAAGAGGTAAGTATATAAATTATTTGTCTAGTTGTTTGGGAGAGAAAATGAGGTGCTGGGTTAGATTTTTCTCTTGAATAGTCTCTAGTTTTAATCTCCTGTAGTTAAAAGCAGAGTCACACTAGCCCTCTGAATTCAGCAAGACAACAGATGGGGCCAGAGCCCAAAGCACCATCTATTTCTATTTTTTCTCTTTAACTTCAACTGTAAGGATCTCTCCTTCTCCTGCTCTGGGGGATGGAGACATACTAATGACCAAAGAATCCTTCTTCGTCAAAACTGCAGGTGATTTAGCCTTAGTGTCTGCATTTGATTCTTCCTTTTGTACAGGGGGTGCAGCTGAGGCTGTGGGCTCCACAGGTTTCTTCTCTTGTTCAGGCTTCTTCTCTGCTTCAGCTTGAGGTTCCTAGAAAAAAGAAGTGACATGTTTTCCAATGCTGTGGAAGAAATTCAGGAGGGAGTTCTGTATATGTGATAGAAAGACCTATCATGGATATTATGATTAATTGTGTGCAACACACGTAAATTTGTATTTAGATGCTGAAAATCAATTTCTAAATGAAAAACGCAATTTCAGAATCAGATTACCAACATAAAACCTAAGAAAAGCTAGATTGTGATAGCATAGATTATTAATGAAGCAGGCACGTTTTGGGGCACATGTCCCCTCCTTAGTTCTTGCCTTCCTTTATGTACTTAGACTAGTACAGAAAAAAAAAGTGCTGTGTAAATCTTGACATATTGCCCAGTGCCCCCGTTCCTTGGCCACGCCTATTTTCTAGGAAGTTCACAAATACACATTAAATTGTGCAATGTTTCTGCTCCAATCATAGTGTTGTAATCTTTTGTGTAAGCAAAGTTCTTTATTTAACTTAAAAAAAATAACTAAAAGCACTTCCAGTTCTGCTCTAATGAGAGGTTAGAATTCTGCCACCTTTCGGTAAATACGTAGAACTGAGCAGGTTTTTATTAACATTTCTCAGAACACAGAATAATATGGAAACTATTTTTTCATCAACTAAGTAACAGTTTTCTCATAAGTGCAATATATTAGAGATGTCATCGGTTTAGCTGTGTGGGGGCTAAACTTTAAAATTTCTTCATGATTTCTGGCAACCAGAGATCTTTGAATTAGAATGTTCATTGTGTGCTTGAGTCAGCTAAATCAGGTTAGTGTGTTGGGGTAATTCTGTATTTACTGTTTTTTTCATAAAGGTAGAAGCTCAGATGCCCTTAGGGTCTTTGTAAAGTCTATTTTATGCTGACTTTCTTTGAGAATTTTTCTTTCTTTGATTTTCTTTGCTTTTGTTTTCTATGCTCTCCATAGAGTCCAGGTCTAGGAAATTTTAAGGCAAATTGTGGTCTTTACAGGATTAGGTACATAGTGATATCTCAGCTACTGGTAGTTTTTGCCATTAATTGCAGCAAGGCTACATTTTCATCTACACTGTTGCCTAGGCCCTCCCAGTATTTTTTCTGTTTCCCTCTTCAGCACCTGATTTTTTTAACTCTAGTTTCTGTGGCATTACCTGAGTGTCATCTCTCTTCATCTGCGGTGTATTAGAAGAGTCTCTTTTTCCTCTAAGTCCAGCCATTGCTTTAAACAATTTTGGAGTTTCTTTTTTCTGCCCAAAGAAACCAGCTAAGCCTCGTGGTTCTTGCACTGCTGGTCCTGGAGCAGGTTTCCCCTTCTGCTTCAGCAGCACCCTGGAGATGGGAAGGAATGAAAGCACAAAGCAGTGCTGTGAATCTGAGCAAAGTTCCTGCAAAGGTAAAATGTCACCTTCATATATTAAAAACTGGCAAATTTTCCAGCAGACATTGCCCCAGGTGCAGCGGCAAAGGCAAACCTGGACAAGGTAAGAGTTTTACCCTAGGCGAGTTTTACCCTAGGTTCTGGTACAGTTCTAATTGGAGTTCTGTGCTAATTTGGAGTAAGAATTATAGAATTGTAGAATAATTTTGGTTGCAAAAGACCTATAAGATAATTGAGTCCAACCATAAACCTAACACACTGCCTAGTCCTCCACTAACCCATGTCCCTGAGCACCACAGTTTTCAAGTACCCCCAGGGATGGTGATTCCACCACCTCTGTGGACAGTTTGTTCCAGTGCCTGACACACATTTCAGTGAAGAAATTGTTCCTAATATCCAATCTAAACCTACCCTGGCACAACTTGAGGCTGTCTCCTCTCATCCTATCACTTACGTAGGAGAAGAGACCAACCCTCACATCGCTACAACCTCCTTTCAAGTAGTTGTAGAGAGTGATAAGGTCTCTTCTCAGACCAGAAGGACATTGATGCACAGGTGCATGTCCAGAGGAGGGCAATGAAGATGGTGAAGGGCCTACCTAGAGCACAAGCCTTATGAGTAGTAGCTAAGGGAACCAGAGCTCTTTAGTATGGAGAAAAGGAGGTTGAGAAGACTAGCAAGCAACAGGACTAGAGGAAATGGGCCCAGGTTGTGCCAGGAGAGGTTTAGATTAGATATTAGAAGAAATTCCTTCCCTGAAGGGGTAATTAAACGCTGGAACAAGCTGCTCAGAGAGGTGGTTGAATCCCCATCCCAGGAGGTATTCAAAAGATGTAGAGATGTGGTACTTAGGGACACGTTTTTAAGGACGGGACTTGCTAGAGTTAGATTAATGGTAGGTACAGTTATCTTATGGTTGGACTTGACGATTCTAAAGGACTGTGCCAACCTGAATGATTCTGTGAGTCTGTGATGATTCTCAAGTTACTGTCATTTGATAACCAATTATTTTTGAAACATGCAGAATGCAACCATCTGCTAGCACTTCTACAAACAAAATGTCACTCTTGTTCTATTTTTAGTATTTTCTGTTGAAGTTTCAAGTCTGAGAGCAAGCTTCTGACCTTTGATAGCAATGCAAGGCAACAGCTGAAAGCAATAGGAGCCCTGAAGTGTGCTAATAATGACAAACAGTTTAATACATTTATACTTTTTACAAGGTAATAAGGTACTCATTTTGTCATAATTTTATGGCAAAATCTGACAACATTTTTCCCTTTCAAAGCCAGGAAAGTGGTGATCTTAGAAAGTCTGAGCCAAAGCAAGGAAAAAAACCAAACCCACAACCATTTTTTAACAAAATACACACCTCTCAAAACTGTGTACTTCCATCTTGTCAGGCCTTAACTTTAAATTGATTCCTAACTACTGCTTGAGATTTTGGAAACGCATACAAGTCAGTGGGGGAATTGAAGTGTGTATCTGTAAGCCACAACTGTCCATTCTGCAGCTAAATAATGTCATTTAAAAATTGTTATTAAGACATACTTTGCTTTCTTCATGAGAAGTTTTTCTGAGTCAGGATAGTGAACCAAAATTTCATTGAGTGTTTTCTTGTCCAGGATAAAAAGGTTGGCAAAACCATGCGCCACCACATTGGCAGTCCTTCTGTTTCCTCCACCTGCAGCTAATAGGCTGGAATGAAAAGGAACATTATCAGTCACATTTTTCACTCGTCCTAGTGAGGAATCTCTGTGCTGGTGGTTCTCCACTGAAGTCGTCATAAAGCTCACTTTTGTGCCCCACTGTTGTATCTGATATTCTGTACTGTCCCTTTGCAGCTGGCATTAGAAATATCTTCTTGCCTCAGGAAGGCAAATTGCCACTACTGTTCAGAAATATGTAGATACTAAGGACTCTGAAAGGTCATATTAGACAGAGACACCCACTGCAAGGGGTGCATTTGTTTTAGTCCTCATGTGAACTTGGCATTTCCTCCATTTGATTGTTGAAAAGTATTTACATCAGAAGTAGAGCAGCACACGTCTGTTACTTCTGAAACCCTTATATACAGTGAATTAATGATTTTCCAAAACAAAATAATTTTTCTGAGAGAGTAACTTCTGTGAGACTCTAGTTTTCAGTTTTCTCACATACCATGTGTCATGTTTGAATGTTGGCAAACTGAATGATACGGATTAGGGAGGTCTTTCAAGCTGACAGTTATGTGTCTGCCAGAAAAAATAAAGCTATTTTTTTTCCAAAGTATGGCATTAGACCTATTTAGGAAGCTGCAGTTGGCCATAGGTACCATATCCTCATAAAAGGTAGATGCTGTACAAATACAAATTAAATTATTCATCTTGCATTAAACAAATGAAATTAAGAAAATTATCCTCTCAGCTGTGATGATAAGCAAGAGAAGCTGCATTTTGTTCTTGGTACTAAAATTTCTTTAACACTGTATTCAAGGAGGTCTACCCTAAATGTTTGTCCCTTAAATGTTTCCCAGTGAGTTAATATTTTGAAAGAGTATTTAGAAATATCTGCATTTAAAAGTTATTAATAAGAGCCCCATAAAACATTAATTAACACTTACACAAAATATTAATCAAGGATATATACATATTTGGGTTTATATTAAAACTTATTTATAGAACATATTTCTAAATATTAGTACATACAGATAAACTATTGTATTTTATTTATAAAGGGTAGTATGAGACCTCTACAAGGGTTTTTTCACACATGCACACACACACACAAAGTGTTTTTCTGCTACCCAAGACAGCAATCAATATATGAACTGAAGCTGAAAATGCAATGTATTGTCTTCTTTTTAAACAATTCAGTGCAATGCCTCAGACAGAATAAAACTATTTGCACAACAAGGAAAGCAGCTAAAGAAAATTGTAAACAGCTTTTGAATTCTAATGAATCACTTCTCAACAAGTCATTGAACAATTGTTTTCAGGCTTTCCAAGAGAAAGCTCATTTTATCGAGACAGACTTCAACTAAAGAGATCAGCTATTTCATTAGGGTGATGATGTGAAGTGAATTTTACATGTAAGGCAGTCCTTGCTCAAACTGAATAACTAAGGACAGCATTACAGGCTGAGACAATTGGGGCTGCTAGGCCTGGAGAAGAGAAGGCACTGGGGGGACATTATAGTGGCCTTCTAGTACCTGAAGGGGCTACAGCAAAGCTGGGGAGGGGCATTTTACTAGGGCTTGTAGTGAGAGGACAAGGGGCAATGGATCAAAACTGGAAGAGGGGAGATTTAGGTTAGACATTAGGAAGAAATTCTTCACTATGAGGGTGGTGAGACACTGGAACAGGTTGCCCAGGGAAGTTGTGGATGCCCCATCCCTGGAAGTGTTCAAAGACAGGTTGAATGGTGCCCTGAACAACCAGATCTAGTGACAGGTAATCCTGCCCATGCAAGGGGGTTGGAACTAGATGATCTTTAAGGTCCCTTACTACTCAAACCATTCTATGATTCTATGATTCTGGCCTTCATGATTGAATCTGTTTTGGCTAGACTGTTAAGCATTAATGATAGACCAAATTTTTAAAAATAACTACTTTTGCCTTGCAATAGTTCTTGATGCTGTTATATTAATAGAGAAATTTTGGGGGTTTTGCCTTACATGTTTTTCTCCAGTTGTTAGGCTGAAATGCTGTAATATGAGATGATAATTTTTTAATTCTTATGCTAGCGAATTTAATTTAGAGGCATAAAGTTGTCGAAATGATGGGTTAGCTTATCTATTTTTATTTTTATTTTAATACTTAACTTCTGTAGGAAGCTGCTGGCCACTGAAATTAGCAAATTGATGCAGGGAATGGCAAGCATTTCAGCAGAATGCGTAGGGTTGGGCCAGCTCATCTTGGCACTTTTGTGCACACAGAGAAAATCCTAAGTCAGGGAAGGGAAACAGGTCTGGATCTTCTGTCTGAGCAGAATGCCAAACACCAAAGGCAGACCTTAGTGAAAACAGCAGCTGCCACTTCGTGAGCAGTCCTGGGCCAAGGTGGAAAACGAAATCTTTCACAAAGCTAAATACTCTCTTTAGTTTTCATTTTTTTAAATAAAACTTAGTTACAAAACAGCTGAGAGGCGAAAGCTGAGACTAAACATTAAGAGATCATTCTGTCAAAAATTTATATATAATAATGTTTCAATTTTTCCAGAATTACCCTTTTCTGACAGAAAATTGTTCTAGTGAAATGTGAGTAAATGGATGAATAAGGACATCTGGCTTAAAGTGTAAATTTCTTTGGGCTAATGAAGTGTTGTGTTATAGCTGAGTTTCTCTCTTTCTCAATTGTCTGTACAGACAGGCTCTCATTAAGGCAGCAATCTGTTTGCCTCTGATTCTGAGATTATTTTGCTTCCCCAAACTGATACTATCTATACAGAAAAGCAGTGATGAAGGTAAGATGTTAACTGGAAGACAACTCCTGTTTCTGTAATAATTTTCAAGGACGAAATTGGCAAAGGACCTATTTGAACATTAGTCTTGCATTGGCCTTGTATAATTCAGGGAAATTTATTTAAATAGATTTTTTTTGTTTGTTTTCTTCAGCTCCTTTGCCCTCAGAGACTTTTAAAGTCTCATTTGCATGCATTTTGAATAGAATGAGATTAAAGGAAATGTCTTATAAATCATGTAGGTATACTATTTGGAATGAAGCTGACACATTTCTCTAAACAAACTTTGAATCAGAAATCAAAAGGAAATCAGTGTGATACCAGGTAATAACCATGCTATCAATATTGAGGAGAAAACTTGAATGTGCTAAATGAAGCGATATTTCATCCATTAAAGATGATTTTTTTTTCATTTTCTTCTGCTATACAGTGTTCAGAAGACCTTGAGAAGACTTACAGAGAGATATGCTAAACAAACTCATTATTTTCTAATGCTTCTCCACAAAGAAGAGGATAAATCTCTACTGATACACATAGTACTTCATTTCTTTGCTTTCCTTCAGTTTTGGAGATAGCTGCCTGTTGCTGTATTTTCTCCTCAAGTTTATGTGCTTCCTGTCATTTATATGCAAATTACATGTCTCTGAACTGGTATGCTGCTGCAATAGGTCAATGATGAATAAAAGAGGACTAGAATTGTAGAGCTATAGCATTACTGAGGGTTTTTACTGGCCATATTCACACATATATTGGGAAGGGAACCTTTAAAGGCTGTTGTGTAATTCTTTTGTGGAAACAAGTGCTCTCCTGTGTTAGATCAAAAGTTTGAAAAACCTTCCCTTATTTCCAAACCAATCATTAGAATTTCTCAGTTCAAGAAATAAAATCCTCACTCCAAATAAATAATTGAAAACTAAGTGTGTGCTATATATCTGGGCTGCTGTAACCTTTTCTTTTGTCTTTTCAATATCCAGCCCTTACAGAAAATCAGTGCATTCTCAGATTTTTCACACTATTTACAATACAGCCTTTTTTTTTTTTTTTTTGGAGGCTTTGCTCAAGTATCACATTGTCACACAGAGAAATAACGTTTCAAATAACCTCTGACAGAGCTGATACAATTTCACTTTCCCACTCAATAAAAAAAGTCTTTATCTATAGGATATATCAGGTATTTTCCACTTGTGGTTTAAGCAAGCTCTATGTGCATGTCACTGGAGAAATGGAAAAGTTTCCCCTACCACAAAGGGAGACACAAGTAGAAGATAAACGTAAACCTGGCACAGAGCTGATTACCGCTTTTCAAAAGGCAGATTAATGCTACCAGCAAGAGGATTAAGAATAACAGAAAGCCAGCTGGAAGAAATCAAGAATCCAGTTTATCACATGCAGCAGCACGTGTATTTTACTACTTCTCCTCAGGCCAACCTCAGCAGGGGATGCAGTACCTAAAAATTAGCACTTGGTTGGCTAATTGGGGAACATGGCCCAGAAGAGTTAATAGATTTTGCATAGCAACCACATGGAGAATATAAAAACCATTTCTAACTGCCTGAGAAAAAAATTTCTTGTCCACATAAACTCACACCCAAAAATCTGTTCTGTCAGCCTTTTTCTTGATTTGTGGGCTCTTAAACAAATACATTTTCAAATGTGGATGCCTGATTTTTGGCAATTTAATCCTTACTTCAGCTCCTAAATGAACCAATCTTATTTGCTATTTTAGATCTCCTTTGTTGGAAATTAGTTAACATTTTTACTATTTTCTCTGTGAGAGCACCTAGTCTCACTATCCATGCAATAAAATGCATTTGCTCCTGCTGTATTGCAGACCTCAGAAAAGGAAGGTGTGATAAACATTTTAAAAATTGAAGAAGTCTGTTTGTGTATCTCTGTATACATTGCCCAAAACACTGGTCAAAAATTTTGCCAGACTAGTCTCTGATGCTTCGCGTCAAATTTTCCTTCCCTGACCTGCATCTCCTTGCTGGGTGTCCTCTTGGTTAATCCTAACAACTTTCCAGCCTCCCATGGTAGTAGGTAAACAAATGCTGATTATTTGATTAGTTCTAAAGAAAGTGTTAAAAATAGTGATGGACCTACCTGATCTCCCCAAACACAGATCCCGCTCTGAGTGTAACCAGAACTTTTGTACCATCAGGGCCTCCAAGGACTTGAACTTCACCCTGTTTGATGATGTACATCTCTCTGCCAATCTCTCCCTGTGAACACAAACACAAAAAGAACTCATATTTTAGCAGGGCAGTGTTTTTGTGTTAGAATTATCTGACAAAATCTTCTTTAAATATCTTTCCCCTTTCTTATATACCAATTCACTGGTATCATGGAACCATAAATGTTTACCCTTCTTTTCCTAGCACTGAGCACTAGTGCAAGGACTGGCTCTGGCAGATACAATTGTGATGTGAGACAATATTTAAACAGAAGACTATCTAGGCCAGCTTAGACATAGAAGACTAGATAATAACCAGGATTGTAGCAGTAATTTCCATCAACTGTTCTGGTGGAAATGCAAGTTCTTCAGCAGCATTGTTAATAACAAATGCAAAAAGCCCAGCTTCATGGTAAAAATATCTTCAGTTTTTGCACTATTATTTCTAATCATCACTCACCTAATTTAAAGGGAAAATAAGAAACAACAATAATTCAAAACTTTGTCTACTTTTATGTAAATCACTGCATGGTTTAAGAGATTATTAGTTTATTATTTTTTACATGATCTACTAAGATTCACATCTCAGTAAGACAGACAAATATTTTCCACTCACACAGCTAGAGCAATGGAAGCAAAGCAGCATTTTCATTTTAGACCATAATTAACATACTAGACTAGAACTCCTATATTGGGGGCTCTGATGGTCTCTTCTGGGTGTGGTATGAACTGTAGGTCAGTTGTGACACCAGTAACAGTACTGATAATACACGATCCCTGTGCTTTAATATATCAAACACTGCCTGTAAGTATATTTACATGCCTTTCAAAAAGAGACTTGGGCTCACTTGATCAAAAGCTGAGCTTTCTACCTGTGATCTCGGGTCATGTTGAGCCAAAATGCTAAGAGAAGAGATGCTTCTTTGCTAAGGGACAGTGTGACAATGTTCAGCTGGGATTCTGGAGGTGGATCAAAGCTGCAAGTTAAACTGGAGCAAGACCAGATCCTGCTGTAAAGAACAGTATGGGATACAGTGTATTTTCTACATTCTTTGATAGTTACAATGAAGAGTTTCTGAATACACACAAACAAAGCGCATGCAAATCATAATAGATTGAGATCTGTAGGCTAGGTTTGCATGTATATTTGTATAAAATTAGGTTAGCTCCATTTAAAATATTAAAACTTCATGTTGTATAACCAGATAAGCCATATTTACGTTAAGTATTTTCCCATATTACTATAATTTTATGTTTGATAATATAAGTCATAAAATCTGTATTGTCTTGTTATAGGTGGAAACTTGAGAGCACATTTGTTATTATTACACAGAGTACCTTAATTACTGTTACACTATATAATTCACTCAGGATTAATTTTATTGAAATAATACTGTTGACCCAGAGCTGAACCCTTTTTTCAAAATACATACTATAATTTTTTTCATTTTAAAGAAACAACAGTGTTCACCTTTTTGCAAACGAAGTCACCAGGTAAATAAACAATGGATTTCAACCTCAGCAGCATGTCATAAATCATCTGGGTATCGCATCCCTGTTAAAATAGTTAGAATTGATTGCTCCATTAATTCAGTAATAAACGTGATTATTAGTGCTTACACTGGGCAGCAAACTCCAACAACACACAAATGATCCAGGAATTTATAAATGGAATGCAAATGCAAAATATCATGAAGAGCAGCTTTTAAAGCAGAGAGAAGACTGAAAGAACTATAATTTCAGATACTTATAAAGTTCCCTTTGGAAACAGCTCTTCATTTTTTACAAAGTAAGCTTGTTTTTATCTAAGTTTGCTGTGGAACCACGGTTAGTGTTCTTCACAGCTTTATGGTTTTCCTACGTGATATTAAAAAATACTTGCTTTGAATAAGTCAACTTTATTGACAATGGCAAAGTTCACATCAATTGCAATGGCTAATTGCATTTTGGTTGGCATCTGCTCCAGTAATTCTGATTCATCTGTAAAAGAAAAAAAAAACCAAACAACTCTGTTAGTTAGAAATTAAAAGGGAGAATGAAAGAATGTTCATAAAAATGAACATCATACAGAAAATAACCTAATGGAGCTATTCTTGCATTTATGAGTTTGAATGAGGAAGCTGCTAATATGCTTGTACTAAGTTTCATATCTTGTCTAAAGTTATAACCAGACTAATATATAAATTACTAGAATTTTTTGCATTACTGTCATATTGATTTGGAGTTACTTTTTTTTTTTTTTTTTTTTTTTGTAGGGTGTTCTTATTCATGTCATTCCAGAGGAATTAGAACACAGTAGTGTTATTTAGCAATGCAGATGTTTTATTATTGTGTTGTTTATGTGAAAGTGGATATGACATGAAGAGGTATATCAAATGAGCAATAGAGAGAAGCGAGCTGTGCTCCCTTTTTGATTATGCATATTTATTCATACTGCAGAAGTTACTGCACGTAGCAGAATCTTCTAAGATGGATTGCTCAGTTTGGAAACCCAGTCTCCTCTCTTCCTCTGCACACCTCCCCACCATCTTTTTTTTTTTTTTTTTTTTTTTTTAATATAAAGTAAATTGAGTACCCTCCTCTCACTTCTCTCATGCAATTCACAAGAGGAGAAATGTTAATTTCACCCTGTATCTATACTTACCCAACATTCCCTGAGAGTCCCATGTGTATTCATACCAGGTTCGAACACGGTTTTGGACCAATCTTGGAATAGAGTAAGTGTTCATATAGGAGACAGTGTTGTCCATACAGGAACGGTAGTAGTTCTGTCCTGCAGTAGCTGCTCCAATTACATCTCTCATCTGTAAACATCAGTTTATTGTTACAACACATTTCAGCAATTTATGTATCTTGTCAACAACATATAGGAAGAAGAAAACACTTGTTTGCAAAAATCACTCAATCATTATGCATTCAGCTGAATGTTTTGAATAAGTGTTTCACCTGCTTTTTTTGAAGCATTACAGATTTAATCTAATTATGTTGGAAAGTCTATATTCATGACTTTAAAGGAATAATCTGTGGGGTTTACCTTATTCTTCTGTCTCCTATTTCTGGACATGGGTAAAGAATATAGATAATGCTTTTCTTAACAATCCATAATAAAGCTACTCTGCATTTGGAGTGTAATTCAAGTCAGAAGTGAAGCAAACTGGGCTTAATTTTGCTAATAACATTAGCTGGCACTACTAAAATTAATATCCTGCAAGTGTTTGAGTAGTTGAAAGAATCTGGGCTTTGAGCTGAAAGGTGATTTTAGTGCAGGAACATACATTAACATTCTAACACAAATGTAATTTAATTTTTAGAAAGTTAATGAATTAATGTTCATAGATATTCCTGCTTCAAAAGCATAACTAAATAGACATATTCTTATAGAATAGCTTCATATTGCAGTGGCCAAGGACTACTTTGCTGGTGGGCTGAATTCTGCTGTCTTATTACAGTGATGGGCCTGACTGCAACAGGAATAATAATTTTTAGGCAAGTGTGGTAAACCAGAAATATCTCAGTAATTTTAAGAGCTCTTTGTAAACAGGAACTATAGCAAACTGCAACAAAGCTGTTAGTGTGTTAAGATTTAAGGTCTGAGTCAACAAATTACTCATTACAAAATCTGAACTGCAGAATCTTCCAGGGAATGCTGCTCTCATTGACATATCAATTTAGGAAAAAATATAAATATGCATACTTTGAAGTTTCATCCAATATACTCAAAGTCAATATTTTTCCAGAAGAAAACATTTATATGAATAAAATGTATTTTGCATTATTTTTGGTAATTCTTGTTTCTGAATGAATTCTAAATCCTATAGGCAAGAGTCTATAATGACAGTTATTTCTTCTTGGACCTCTAGGCAACAAGAGACACATCCACTTTTTCACTGTTTGATTGAACTTTTAAAATCCTGTATTGAAAATAGAAATGAAAAATAGAAATTTCAGTTTTCATCTCTATTTTTTAAAAAATAATAATTCTTCCAATAACATGCATGCATAAATCAAAAGGTCTGGAATACTTTCTAAAGGGAATCCAGTGAGACAGTCTCACACAGGAAATATGGCATTTGTTTTTCTGTAGGCGAGGTATTTTAAAACCTATGGATCTAAAGCCCAAGTTTAATTGTTACAAACTAGAAATATTTCAGTTACGGTCATTTGGAAATATAATTGATTTAGTCTGCAATGGGCTTTTTTTTTTTCCCCCTCCTGCCAAGTAAGAACCAAGAGAAAGAGAAAATCATTTTCAGGTTAACAAATATTTTGGAAATTACAGAAGAAAAAGGATTTCTAGTTTGACAGAAATAAGAGAAATTTCATTAACAGTATTCTATTGGCAGTAGTACCCAGTGTGATTTAATAATTTACACATATTAAGATCATATCTACAATTATTTTTTATATCACATTTAACAGTATAATGGGAATGTCAAGGAACTGTCTCCTTGGCTATGAGGATGAAAAAAGGAATTCTACATAGTTTCAAGGATTGTTTGTGTGCTGCCTTCAAATCAGCTTCTGTGCAAAAAGGCTACAATACTGGGAACTGATTAAACAGATGTATTTGTCAGAATATAAGCACATATGACAGTTGAATAGCAAGACATTCAGGTGGCAGCTAAACATTTTCCCAGGACTAAAGTCCATTATATTGAATATATTATCACTGTATTACAGTAATTCGAACATATTAGTTATTGATTTTTTGAGGTACCTGACCAATTAAGCTGGAGAAGACAAAGACACCCGAGAAATAATTCAGGAGTTGAAAAACTATCTCAAACAGGGTTTGTGGTTCTGGAAGGCCACCGATGGTGATTAAAGTACGAACCGCCCAGTAGTAACATCTCAGATACCTGTGGATACAGACAGTACTTCTGTCATTGACTGTAGGTATTGATGTGGTAGAAGTTAAGCATATACCTACCTGAGTTGGGCCTTTCAGTGATGTTTTTCTGTCCAAAAGACCTTCAGTACTTTTTATAAAGGGTTATGACATTACAAAAGATAGGTTATGTAAATCATGGAACTGAATATTCTTCACTGACAGCAAAATAAGTGTATATGGGAAATGCAATGGTTAGTTACTGTTCTCCAGGAAGTCTATGCTACATTACAGAAGACTTCTGTAACAAAGTGCCAAAGTAGACATGACAGTGTTTGAATGCTACCAGTAAAGATGGCATGATGTTAAAAGCACTCTAAAAGTGTAGCATACAAGATGCTCACACATCTGATGGTCTTTTCTATGGCTTGACTTGATGACATCAGTGTGAAGCTTCATGGTGGACATGGCAAATGCAGTGTTGTTCTTTTTGTGTCCATTTTCCTACATACATAATCCTCCTGGATTATGTCAAACAGAAGTTATATGTTTCCACAAGCTGCATGTTCATCCAGCTTCTCCAAACCACTTCATTTAGTACTGAAGTGTTGACTCCTACATTAACTTTTCCTAGTGGCTGGTATCCACTACCCTATCTGTCACCTTAACAAACACTTTCCTGCATTCTTCACTACTTTCCCTCATGCCTCAGAAGACCTGTCCACCAATGATGACAAAACTACCTTGTTAACACCCTTCAAGACTTTTCTAAGAACTCTCTTGATCTAGAACCCAAATTTAGCAGTAAGCAATGGTCAGTCACTGAAACTCTGCTTCAATGTATGGCTTATACTGACTCCTTCACAGTAAGTGTCTGCTGTCTGTCACTTCTCATACCTGAAGTATGAGCTTTTTGGCTAAAGACTGCTTTGCTCTGTTTGTAGAGCCCTTTTTGTACAGCCTGGTGCATGAGCGAGCCCGTTGCATTCAAGTGTATTTCTATTAGTATGATAACATTAGTTTATGAAAACAACAAAGGACCTGTTATTTTTATTTTTAAAATTTATTTTGTTAGGATAGTCATAATTACTGTCTTATTTATATATATATACATGAAATGCCTTGGCATCTCTAAGATTCTGTTCTAAATTTTATTGTAGAATGTGGCACTGCTATTAATGCAGCAACCCCTATACTATGCAGCGGGGATTAATTATTTAAAATAATTGTCATGAATGTGCTATCATTTCTTTCTTTTCTGAGCTAACAAGTAATTGGTTTTAAAAGCCTGCTATGAATTAGAATTTGGCTTCTTAAGTCTCTGTCCAATCAGCCTTCAGCTTCACTAATGATTAGGAGTGGATGTACATTTTTTCAGTTGTACAATCAGATTTTCAGTTATTTCATCTATGACTATTGCTTCTGAAGCAATGAAGATTCCTCCTATTTGTCAAATTTTGTTGAGTTTGAAATAAAACATTAAAATATAACACAGAAGAAATACTTCTGGAGATGTTTGTTTTGAAGTATACAGTCTTGCATTCATTTTCTCAGGCCTGCCTTAAACCTCAGGGTACCTGATCTGCTGGCAGATTTCAGTTGTACATTTGCATTTGTTGGCCTCCACTTTTCAAGTCCTCTCTTATTAAGAAATGAACTCTACTCCTATTAATAAAAGACCCATGTAACAGTACAATTGGAGGGCTGATTTTGTGCAAAAATGAGAAAATAAATTCACAATAACCAGTTCCAATGAGGGTTTTTCTTTAAATAACTTGACAGTGTTTCCAAGCCTGTAACCTAAAATATCAGGATTTACCAAGCAATCAATTTCTGATTTTCATTACAAAGTCACTTTTCTCTTAGTTGCAGATTAATGAAATGTGATAATGATGATTTTTGCCATAGTTTTCTAGTTTTAGATTTTAATAGTCAGAACTGCCTATTTCCATTCAGAGTCCTTAAGGCAAGAAATTAATTGCATATCTGCATATCATTTTTCATTGTTAAGGGTGCAAAATGAACAACTGGATTACACCACTATAATATTTTCACTTGGGATTAAAAAAAATAATCGTCTATGCATGCTTTCAGCAAAGTATGCATAAGTGGCAGATTTCTCTCAGACTTTTGTAAAATAAATTAATAAACAGTGAGAAAAAGCCTCAGATATGTTTTGAAAGAACTGCAGATTTAAGCATGAAATTATGTCTCTAGCTTGTCTGAGGGGAATTATCATTAAAAGAATATTAATATATAATTTTTCATACCTGAGAATGCTTTAGAGCTTGAAATATTTATAATTTATGGATATAAAAGTAAAGAAATTAATACAGTAGTTACTATAGGAAATGAAAGTAATTAACCAACTCTTTCATCCCCAATGGCCTTGGATGCCAAGCTTGCTAAATCCACCAGGACAGTTAATATGATCTTTGTTCTGGGAACATCTACAAAAAATGAAAGCATCTCAAAGGAATTTAGGGGTCACATTCTTTTCTGCAGAGTTTTGTATACAAAATGTGAGAGATTTTTTTGAGATCAGCCCAACCCTTTTGAAGGTGTAGTTAATGAAGTGTATTCTGTAATTTTACTTTAAAATAAACTTTCTATGGGCAAAGTAATACAATATTCACTATTTCTTAGGCACTGGCTTTATATTTTCTCCAGTTATGCATTTTATTGGTTTTATTTTCATCCAAAATGAAAGTTATATAGTTGAAATATAATGCAGCTGTTTTCCCTACGATGGGGAGAAATGAGATTGTAAATTTTTTTTAAGGGAAGCCAGGAAAAAAAGGGACTCCCATTTCAACAGCATTAGCAGCTCTGCTTCCTACTAGCTAGTGTCTGCAAACCATCATTGCTCACCATACGGTTTGCTAGCCAGCTATGAAATTACTGTTGAAGCCAATAACATGAGACAAGAAAGGGATTTTCCCTCTACGCAACATAAAGAGTATGTTTATCCTTCAGGCAACCAAACTACTAGATTCTTCCCTAAAGTAAGTCCTAGGTTTGAAAACATTCACAAACCCTACAAATAAGATACCTCTTAATATTATGGCAATAGAAATACCTTTTTCATAAAAGTCCATTTCAGAGTATGCTAAACTTCTTAAATGGTTTTTGGTTAATACAGGTAAATAAAATCTTTATGCATTTGACTATGAGTTTTTAAGGCAGAATTCACACAATTCATTTCAGCCCAGGGAAGCATTACTTCAAGACTATGATGTTAGACTTCTATCAGATTGCAACCGGTATAAGTTTAAGCAGAGTAAATAAATGACTTTAATAAGTTGGCATTTCTATATTATTTTTAATATTTTATATTTTATTTTATATTTTTTAAACTAGTATATGACCTCCTTCCTGGTACCTCTTTTTTTTGAGTGATTTATTCATCGAGTAGCTGTTGGTATGATGATCTCAGAAAGAATGGTGTAAACTTCAAAGCTTTTACTTAAAAAATACAGCTGCAAGTAGCAGGTCTGAAAGCATGAAGTTTGACGCACCAATGAGCTGGGCTGTGCACTCACAGATTGCCTGGAGACATCAGACCTACTACAAGTGCAATGTATAGCTGATACCCAGGAGACATCCTTTAAGATTTGCTAGTCTTACTACACATTGGGCAATGCATTCCAAAGTAGAGTTGTTCTAGACACACATAGTGATTGTTTTGTGGGACTTTGGATATCTGCCAAGTCTGTGCTCAGAGATGGAAGGCAGCAAGCTATGGAGAAACAGGATGCAAATAAATGTTTTGGGTAATTTTGCAGACTTGTGTCTTGTGTGGCTAATTTGGGTGTGTTGCAGTGGGGCAAAGTTTACCGCACCTCTGGCTAAAGGCTTTGAATGAAGGCTGCCATGCAAAAGACCTCAAATCTTCCTGGACATTTTAGGCCCTGGACATCAGCTGGAAAAGAATGCAGCTAGCAGACATTTGCAATAAGAGCTACTTTGATAATTTTGCTTGTTGTTTGAGTGTTCTGTACACTTGTTAGTTATAAATTGTTATAAATTGAAGTTCACCAATTAGTATGCCAGCTCAACAGCATATATCTATAAAAAACTAATAAGAGAAACTGTCATCTGTCATCTTTTTAGCTCAGAAAGAGAAAAAGAGTGAAACTAGAAGTGCTGCCATTTTTAAGAATGGTTTTGGCCACGTCTAGCAACATTTTATAGACATAGCAGGGATTCTACATAAAATATTCATGCCACTAAATCAGTGCCTGATATCTGCTTTGGTTCAATGTAATCTGAGACCACTAGAATTTTTATATGTTTATCAAACTGCTTACTGCCATTTCTTCCAGTTAGCTAAGAGGTTATGTTTGTCTTATCTCCTTTCTGAATGTGTTCCTGTTCTACCTGAGACTGATGGCATATTTACTTCAAATATTGGCAACTCTGACTGTTATGTTAAAGGAATTTACATCTGCACTGCTGTGCCATAACATATACTGCAGTTCTGGTCGATTTTTCTGACAGTTTTTTCTGGATTGTTCTTCCTGCTTTACAAAGAAATGAATATACATAGAATTATCTTATCTCATATGTTTAAATTCATGTTGCATCTAGAATAATCATTAATGTTCACATAATGCTTCTTTGCTAAAAAACCCCAAATATTCAACAATTAGCTAATATGTCTCTCGTGATACTGCACCTGGAATACTGTGTACAGCTCTGGAGTCCTAAGTACAGGAAAGACACAAAACTGTTGGAGAGGGTCCAGAGAAGGGCCACGAAGATGATCAAAGGCCTGGAGCACCTCTGCTATGAAGACAGGCTGAGGGAGTTGGGGCTGTTCAGTCTGGCAAAGAGAAGGCTCCAGGGAGACCTTATAGTGGCTTTCCAGTACTAGAAAGGGGCCTAAAGGAAAGCTGGGGAGGGGCTTTTTACCAGAGAGGGTAGTGACAGGACAAAGGGCAGTGGTTTTGAATTGAAAGAGGGGAGATTTAGGTTAAACATCAGGAAGGAATTCTTCACCTTGAGCATAGTAAAGTGCTGAAGTAGGTTGCCTGGAGAGGTTGTGGATGTCCCATCCCTGGAGGTGTTTAAGGCAAGGCTGCATGAGGCTTTGTGCAGCCTGGTCCAGTGTGAGGTGTCCCTGCTGATAGCAGGGAAGTTGGAACCTGATGAGCTTCCAGCCATTTTATGATTCTATGATTCTATGTCATGACTGACTTTCCAAAGTGATGACTATCCCCTACATCAAGCATCTGCTGTTAGTGGGATATCAAAGTATGCTTCATAAAATGTAGCTCCACATGGGATACATTTTGGGGTTCCATGTACATGAGATCATATGTAATCTAGTATGAGTTAAATAAGGCAAAAAATTAATGCATTCACCAACTAATGTCAAGATGACATAGATTAATGGCTTAATAAGGCTCTACATGGATATATTCTAATATGAATTTTATTCCAGCATCTCAGAATTACAGAATCATTAAGGTTGGGAAAGACCTTCAAGATCATCTAGTCCAACCACTAACCCTACGGAGTCCAGCACTAAGCCATATTCCCAAGCACCACATCTAGATGACTTACACATCCAGGGATGATGACTCAACCACCTCCTTGGACAGCCTGTTCCAATGTCTGACAACCCTTTCAGTGAAAAAGTTCTTTCTAATGTCTAGTCTAAACCTCCTCTGGAACAGCTTGAGGCCATTTCCTCTTGTTCTATCACCAATTATTTGTGAGAAGAGACCAGCATCTATCTCTTTACAATATCCTTTCAGGTAGTTGTAGAGGGCAATGAGGTCTCCCATCAGCCTCCTTCAGACTAAACAGCCCCAGTTCCCTCAGATGCTCTTCATGAGACTTGTTCTCAAGGCCCTTCACCAGCTTCATTGCCCTTCTTTGGACATGCTCCAGCATCTTGATGTATTTCTTCTATTGAGGTGCCCAAAACTGGACACAGTTTTCAAAGCATGGCTGCATCAATGCCAAGTACAGAGGATTTATCACCTCCCTGGTCCTGCTTGCCACACTATTCCTGATACAGGTCAGGATGCCATTGGCCTTCATGGCCACTTGGGCACACTGCTGGCTCATATTCAGCCACCTATCAATCAACACCCTCAAGTGTCTTTCTGCTGGACAGCTTTCCAGCCACTCTTCCCTAAGCCTGCAGCATTGCTGGGGTTGTGGCCCAAGTGGAGGACCCAGCACTTGACTTTGTTGAACTTCATGCAGTTGACCTCAGCCCATTGATCTAGTCTGTTCAGGTCCCTCTGTAGAGCCTCCCTACCCTCAGGCAGATCAACATTCCCTCCCAACTTGGTGTCATCTGCAAACTTACTGAGGGTGCATTCTATCTCCTCATCAAGATCATTGAAAAAGATGTTAAAAAGAAATGGTTCCAACACTAAGCCCCGAGGAACTTGTGACCAGTCACCAGCTGGATTTAACTCCATTCACCACTGCTCTCTGGGCCCAGCTATCCAGCCAGTGTTTTACCCAGCAGAGCGGATGCCCATCCAAGCCATGAGCAGCCAGTTTTTTCATCAGAATGCTGTGGGAAACAGTGTCAAAAGCTTTATGGAAGTCTAGGTAGATAACATCCACAGTCCCACTGAGCTCCATGACTTTGCTAGCATGTCTGACTGCAGTACTCAAGCTGAATATTTAGTGGTATGTGGAAACTTCATCCATGTCATTTTTTAAAGTGAGAACCCTAATTATGAAAAATCAATGCCACTTTACTCAAAGTGTGTTTTACTCTCCAAGGCTAGATTCTTACCCTTCAAGATAGTGATTTTACACTAAACTCGTGAAGTGTGACAAAATTACAAGCAAGAGGAGCATTTCCCCAAGAGAAATGTGAGAAGTTGTTTAATGGATGATTTATGACAGCATTAGCATATTATATGCAGTTTTCAAAGAACGTAATTAATGAATAAGTTGAGCTTCGGTGACTTTACTATATTACGTCCTTTGAAAGAATGAATGTTCATACATCTGAACCTACTAGATATGTTTATATAACTACACACAAAATATATTATAACTTCACTATTTTGTCTTGGTTCCTCTCTATCATCTTAATGAATGTGTCTTACATGGCACCCAACCTAGTGCTTCACAGGGAGTTTGTGGAAATGTGTGCCAACATCCAGTCCTTCCCACTGGAGTCTGCCACATGTTTAAGCCAAACCTTCTCAAAAGGTCTAATTAGCTCAGTGAAAGTGGGTGGAATTTTTTCAGGCCAATCACCATGGTGTTTAGAGGGACTGAAGTGTTGCATTTTAACAACACAATGTAGTATGGCAGAAACTCCCCTCCCCCGATTCCTTTGAGGGGTTGTTCTGCAATCCTTCTAACAGTTCCCATGTGCATATGCAACCACTTAAGTTTAATTTATGACCTTTGCTGACTTCTAAATGTTTGTTAGTACTTAGCACTAACTCATAACCCTATAAAAGCTGAAAGTGATAAACTGATTATTCACTGCATCTGACATCTAAATATGTGTTAATAATGGAAGTTGCTAATCAGCAGTCATGGTGCTGAGAGTTTGCTATTCAAGCACTTGTAAAGTAAGGGCATCTACTGCAAGCAAAGATATGGGAAAAGGAAGGGGATGCAGAAAGTAGCAAAATCATCAAAAATCTCTTGCTGGAGAAAGGACTTACATGTTTCCTTCGCCATCGTACACCCATCTAGTGCTGCCAAGTCCTTCATAGTCTGAAGCCCAATAATACAGGCATGCATTGATGTGCAAGATAAACAGCAAGTATCCAGTTGTTCGAATGACCCTGTAAAAGTCAACAGATTCCTGTAAAACAACTTACATTTTTCCTTCCTTTTCAATATGGAGCCCATTCCTTTTCTGGATCAACAATGTTTATGTTAAGCATTCACTAAATATTTCCTGACCTGTATTGATTCTGTGAAAAAAATAGCTGGCAGTTACCTGTGTCTTACATTTGTGCAAGATCAAATAAATATCTTTCCTAGAATATATGACACAGGGTAATTTTAAAATTCTGATTGTTTGAGGACTTTAGTGCTTTAACTGGCTGTGAATATTTACAGAAATTTGAAGCTGTATTACTGAGGCTAGAGGATAAAAATTAATGTGTTTGCCAAACTCTGTTCAAGATAGGCTCTAAACTTGTGAACTAAAGCCGAGAAATGTCTGAGGTCAGAAATGAGCTGCTTTACAAGAGCTGTGCTAGGAAGCCTGCAGTAGATCAGCTAAATAGCATGATTTAGAGGCTACAGCAAGAGTATTGCTAATCCCAGTTCTTACGTGTATGGCCAGTTCTCTGAAGAACACGAACGATGAACTATGAAAGCCCCAAGCAGCTTTCTGTTTAATACAATGAGTAGATAAGATGTAGTAAGAAGAGAATCCACCCAGGTGCATGCACTTGCTGTGTAGAGGTTTAGTTTTACATTATCCAATTAAGTGGTGCCTCATCACTCAACGGGTGACCACATCATGATCGCAGATCAAAACAGCATTGCTGCATTCAAGTAAAATGCAATAGTTTGCGCAAGCAGCCTGTCTTTTAAATATTTTTTAGCTCCCATTTGTACTCTTCTTCTGTAAAACTTCCACTCTTCTCCATTTATCCTCTTTCTTTCCTTACCCTAATGCCTTCTGGTATGCCAATTAAGAGATTTTTGTCATTTAAATATTTTATCAATGAGCACCCTGAAAACAGGGAGTCAATGCTTTCTGAATTAGGTTTTAGAACATTGTGTCAGATCATGGCATGACATATTTAATAGGTGTTTTTGCAAATACAAAATATAGCATTTTGGTAGCACAGTATGCAGGCATTTTTTTAAAACCACAAACCTTAGCAATGTACTGATGGAAAAATCTATAGATCATAAAGTGTTAACCCTATATATAATAAGAAATCTGGAAGTCCATGTGCTTTTCCTTTGTTTTTCTGCACAT